AGAATCTCACATTTGTTTTAAAAGGCTCCCTCTGACTGCTGTAGAATTTAAAGGTTGAAGACTAGAGAAAGCTGTTAGAGTAATTCAAGGGGAAGATGAAATCACTAGAGAGTGAGTGTCAACAATAGAGGTCAAGAGAACATGTTGGGAGTGTGCTTTTTTAGTGTAGCCAGCATGAGTATTGGATATGAGAAAGAAGAAACCAGGAGTCCTGAAGTTTTGGGCCTGAGATGGAGAGCACTTGGGGGAGTAGGCTGCAGCTGGTGGAAGAGGAAAGAGGTCAGGGTTAGGGGGGGGTGCTGGAAGCCTTGAGGCTGGATGATATCTCCCAGTGAGCAAACACACAGGGTCAAAATGATCTGAGGACTGACCCCTGTGATCCCTCAGCATTTGGAAGATGAAGAAGAGCGGAAGCCTCAGCTGGAGCTGGCCATGGTGCCTCACGGTGGCAGCATCAACCTAGTTTGGGTCCATTGTGGCCCCAGCAGAGTCTGATCGCGCTCCTAGAGCGGGCAGGAGTTAGCCAGCCACAATTCCCAGGCGTCTCAGAGCTTTGTGCTCTCACCCACACTACCTACCTCTGCTATAGTCTGGGGAGTTGATCCAGTTACAAACTGGTCTTGCAGGTTGTGATCTCTTTCCTACAAAGGTTTTGGGGAGTTAGTAGTGCCAACCCTGGGGTATCTGAGGAACTGTAGTTCTGAATCTCAGGGCTGCTGGGAACTTGTGGTCCCACCCTGAGCCTCCTATTCTCTATTTCATGCACCCCTCTCCCACAGGTGTCATGGCTAGGTGAAGAACCTGTGGCTGGAGTGTGGTCAGAGAAGGGCCAGGTGGAGGTGTTTGCACTGCGGCGGCTTCTGCAGGTAGTAGATGACCCCCAGGCCATGGCAGTCTTCCTCCGGGATGAGCAGGCCCGAGTGAAGCCTATCTTTACCTTTGCTGGCCACATGGGTGAGGGCTTTGCCCTGGACTGGTCTTCCCGGGTACCTGGTGAGTCCTGGGGTTTTCACATGGTTTGGGGAGGTGTGAGGGAACAAGGTCCACAGCAGGAGGGGGTAGTTAGACTCCAATGAGGGCAGGGAGCTGTGGACAGGTGGGGTGAGGTAGTTTCCTGACTCCCCCAGGTCGTTTGCTGACTGGTGACTGTCAGAAGAATATTCACCTCTGGACACCTTCAGATGGTGGTTCCTGGCATGTGGATCAGCGGCCATTTGTGGGCCACACACGCTCCGTGGAGGACCTGCAGTGGTCCCCAACTGAGGATACGGTGAGGGAGGACTTGGGGGCTTAGATGCCTGGGGTGATATGGGGCAGGATAGGGACCTGGAGTCCTTGGGAGGAGGGGACTGAACTGGGGTCTGAGAGATTCTGTTTGTAGGCTAAGTCCTAATCAGGGGCGTATAAAGACAGTAGCTGGTAGATGAGTTCCTGTCTTCAGGGAGGGTTGGAGGTACATCTGAGCACTCAGAATTATTCCACTTGTTCAGGTGTTTGCCTCTTGCTCTGCTGATGCCTCCATTCGCATTTGGGACATCCGGGCTGCCCCTGGCAAGGCCTGCATGCTCACCACAGCCACTGCCCATGATGGGGATGTCAACGTCATCAGCTGGAGTCGCCGGGAGCCCTTTCTGCTCAGTGGTGGGGATGATGGGGCCCTCAAGGTCTGGGACCTGCGGCAGTTCAAGGTATTTTCCCAGAAGTCACCAGGATCTGTAGATTTTTCCCTCCTAAAATAGTCCAGTCCAGCCTCTTTTGGCGGGGGCAGGATGTACCAGATTGAACCCAGCAGCGCTTAACCACTGAGCCACATCCCCAGCCCATCTTTTTATTTTTTACTTAGAGACACAGTCTCACCAAGTTCCCGAGTCTGGCTTCCAGGAGTTGTGGGTTGTGTTTTAGTAGATTTTACAGCATTGGCCAAGTAAGAATTGGGGTCCGCCTCACTCATTGCAAGGGAGGAAACTGGGCACTGAAAGGACAGGAGCAGAAGTAATGTCACAGCTAAGAGGCCCCCTAGGCAGGAGAAACCGCAGCGTCTGATGTCCCTCTAGATGGAGCCAGGGCATCACCTGTCTGTCCTTCCTGCACCACCACATCGTAATTCTTTTTCCCCTTCAATTTAATCAACTCTGTAGAATCACTCTAGGGAAGCTTCCAGGCCAGCAGGCCCAGAGCCATTAATGGACCAGTCCCAGCTAGTGAGATGCCCGTTCCAGCAGCACCTCTGCCCAACACAGGTGCTGTCATCCTTTGATGATTACCTGGAGCTTTGGGGAGCTGTGCTACTGCCATATTGAGGCCTTGGCCTTGACCAGTGAGGACAGCACTAGGAGACCACCCCTCCTTTATGAGAAGGGAAAATGAGGCAGTTGAAGGGTGGGCAGGGGCAGTGCTCCGGTGTCCCAGAGCTGAGAAATGCTTTGCAGATGAAGCCACAGCTCCTGGGACTGCTGCTGTCCTTTGTGCCATCTACCTTTTGTGGGCTTGGGGCTTAAGGGTAAATGCCGTGTGTGAACCCTGATGCTCAGGCTGAAGTGTTCAGAGCCCTTGACTCCCATCTTTTCTCGCAGTCTGGCTCCCCAGTGGCCACCTTCAAGCAGCATGTGGCCCCTGTGACCTCTGTTGAATGGCACCCCCAGGACAGCGGGGTCTTCGCAGCCTCAGGTGCAGACAACCAGATCACACAGTGGGACCTGGCTGTGGAGCGGGACCCTGAGGCAGGCGACGTGGAGGCTGACCCTGGGCTGGCGTCCCTCCCGCAGCAGCTGCTGTTCGTACACCAGGGTGAGACGGACCTGAAGGAGCTGCACTGGCACCCGCAGTGCCCGGGGGTCCTGGTCAGCACCGCTCTGTCTGGCTTCACGGTATTCCGCACCATCAGCGTCTGAGGCAACCCCACGGCCTCCAGCCCTGCCTTTTACCTGGGAACTGAAGCTGAAGTTGGTTTGCCTGGAAGGGGTTCATTCAGGTCTCTTGAGTAGCCTCCCAAAAGAAGGGCTTAGTTTAACTGGCCCATGGAGAGCAGAAAAGATGGATTCTGCTCCCTTGAAGGACTTGGTTTGACTCTGGCTCTGCGAAGCCATGCCACCAAAGATGATTCCAGCAAAGACCTCCACCCATCAGAGCACTTGATTAGCCAACTGTGGCTTGAATATGGAATTCTTGTCAGCTTTGTCACCTGGCTTGACCCTTTGACCTCTGCCCCAGGACCTAGTTTTGACTATTGGTCTCTCCCCCAGGGACTTCAAGGGCTTTACCATGGCTGGACCAACTTTGAGGTATGGGCTCCTCTGGTGGAATTTGGTTCTGCGCCTTGTCTTCACCTTGTCTTCCAGCCAGCTGGGTTTGGCCAGGAATTCCCAGTGAGGGGGTCTGTAGGGAGCCCTCTCCTCCCTGAGCTGAGGGCTGGTACTGTTGGGGGAGGAAGATAAAAGAGGCAATAAAGGACCCAAATGAGGACTGAAGTGCTGTTGAGAATCTGGTCCTTCCAGCCCCATCCCTGGGAGAAGACTGAAGTGGCTAGAGAGGCCAAAGGTGGCACCCAGTTTTCCTAGGCTGCTGTGCTCGTGTCCCCCCCCCCCCCCCCCCCCCAGCAGCTGCTGGAGGAGGCTGTAGGATGACACTGCTCCCTGCAGTCCCACCCTCAACCCCTGGGTGCTGTTCAGTTCTGCTTCCCCTGAGTTTTATTAATCTGCAACTCACTCTGGATGGGTGAAAGTGTCTTATAAATGCTTTGCCACTTACTATAGCTTCATGGGGGGGTGGGCAGCAAGTAAGCCACCCCTTCTCTGTCTCCTTCACCTCATTATTTCTTTGTGTTCCCTAAACTGCTGTACTGCCTCCCTATCTTTCCATGTCTCCTTGCCCCAACTGCTGCCTCCCTGCCCCCCACCCATTCTTGGCTACCATCTCCTCTCCAGCCTGCCTGGGCTGCAGCCCAGCTGCCCTGCCTGGCCAGCCTCCCTGGCCCCCCCTCCGCAGCTCTGAGCTGGCCTCACTCCCGCCCCCTCTACCCAGTCCTCTGATCTGCTATGGACTCAGGTTGGGTGCCCAGCTCAGGCCCTGGAGGCTGAGAACAGACCGCAGCCCCTCAGCCCAGGCAGAGGAGCCCCCAGCACAGGGCATGGGGGTGGGCCGCCTTCCCAGGTATGTGCCTCCATGCAAGGTTGGGCCTGAGAGCCAACACCCCCACCTCTCCCCTGCGCCCCATGCCTCCCCACCATCTCAAGGGTGCTCTAGCCCGGGAGACCTCCCCACCCTACAGTCCACCCTTGGTTCCTGCCTTCTCACCACTCCGTCCTGTCAGGCAGCCCCTCCTTGCCCATCTCTTTCTGTTTCTTAAGACATGATCTCCATACTCTTTTCCCCAATTGCTGTTGTCTGCCTGCCTCTTTCTGTCCCTGCTCCCTTTGGGTCTCTGACCCTCTCTCTGTCCCTCTCCGACTCAGCCCCCTCTTTGAGTTTCTGCACCTTCTCTGGGTCGGTCTGTCTCAGAGCTCCTTCTCAACGCTCCTTCCTGCCCGGCTCTGAGTCTGCTGCTCTGTCTGCCTCAGCCCCACACTCGTTGCTATCAGTCTCTGGGTCAACTTGCTGTCCAGACCCCATTCATTGGGGGAAATGGGGGGAGACTCCTTGGTTTCAGGGGAAGGCTGAAGGTGTGTGTACATTTGTGGGGGACAAGCTAGTACCCAAGGGCGGGGCCTCTTAGCCCCAGATTAAACAGTGACTTTGACACGAAGTTGAAGCACCTTAAGCCCTGTCTCCTTTATATGGAAACATTAAGCTGCTCTCGCGGGTCAGGTGGAGGATTGGGGGGAGCTTTGGGCTCGGGATTTCTTTCTCCCATCCTGCCTTTGCAGCGGGAGGAGGAGGACGTGGTGTCCTGAGTCTGAGTCGCATTCACCAGCCTGGGAGCTGGGCCATGTTGGCTGCAGACAGGGCCCTGTGCGATGGACATAGTCAGATCTGTGCCACAGGGTGAGGTGGCACCACAGGATTGAAGAACAGACTCTTGGGCAGAAAGACTCAGGACCCAAAGCAGCTTCCCACCCCTGCAGCCTGTGGCCCAGCAGGGCCTTGGTCCTCACTAACTCTGCTCCTTGGCTGTGAAATGAGATAATGAACTTGACCTCCCAGCATCCTGAGCAGTCAAGGTGAGCCATGGGGGCTGTCAGATTCAGTGGGCGGGCTGTAGACATCCCTTGTAAGTGCCCAGGAAGCTGGCTGAGGTGTGTGGCTGGGACTTGGGCACTTCAGAGGCCTGGGTGGGAATCTAGATTTTGGCATTTTGGCCCCTTCCTGGCCGAGGGACCCCCAAAAAAAACTGAAAAAAAAAAAAAAAAAAAAAAAAAAAAAAAGCCCTGGTTGCTTTCCTGTGAATGTGGAAGGGTCATGGGTAGAGCAGGTGCCAGGACCCAGCAGGGAGCAGTGCACGCTGCAGCCCTCTCCCCAGCCTGTCACTGGGAGACACCGGAGGGGGACTAGTGCAGGGAGGATTTTCTGGGTTTGGGATCGTTGCACATGGCATGGCGTGTCCTGGACCCTGCAGATCTGCGTTTTGGGCAACTCCATGAGTCTGCTTCCCCTTTCCAGGAGAGCAGTCTCTAACGCCCAGGATGCTGAGGCGGCGACAGGTTGGGACACATTGTGGGCACTGGAGGCAGCCCAGCCCATCCACTCTGGCTGACCAGGTGGATCCTGGAGGCCAGGAGGAGGGGGACGTGGTGTCCTGATGAGCCATGCAGAGCTCTGGGAGACAGGGGGATCTTGCTAGCAAACAGACAGTCCTCAGATGGAGTGTCCCAGGCTAAGACACCCATGGGGATCCCCAGAGACTGGCCTTTTTGGCCCATAGCTCAGTACAGGGGTGCTGGATAAATGTTTATGGAAATGTGTAGGAACTGTTTAACCCCTGGTAGCCCTTGTCCCAGCCACACCAGGTACTAGTTAACCTTGCAGTTGCTGAAGGGTGTGAGGTATGCCGGCCTGTGCCCAGCCCGCCTCTCCTGCCCTCTGCCCTGCTGGGCTGTGGGGATTCCCTTCATTTCCTGGAGGAGAGAACTGGGGCTGACGTACAGCTGACTTTTCAAAAGTCCCTTCCTTTCAGCTGAGGGTCCATTCCACAGATGAAGAACTTGAGAAACTTGAGAAAAGAAGCCAGGGATTTGAGATACATGAGGGGTCAGCAACTGACCCGGAATCAGGTCTTGGATCTTTAGGATGGGGAGGTACTTCCTGACTCATGAAGTCCGAATTTCTCTATTTTACAATGAACTCAACAAACTCAGAGAGATTTGCCCCAGATCAGAGAGTCATAGCTGCACTAGTCTGTTCATGTGGGAACAGCTCCACTGGTGTGTGACTCACATGCCACACCTTGCCCCACACTTGTGCAGTGTGCTTAGTAGATTCACAGGTGCACAGCTGTCACCCCTAAGTAATTTTTAGAATATTTTCATCACTCCCAAAGAAATCCCATGTCCTGTCATGTCCTAATCTCCCATCTCCCCAGAATGAGG